TTAAAAGAATTAACAATGCGAAATTTATTTTGCAGTTTCGGTGTTTATGTCCAAACTCTCAGAGGTTCTACTACTGTTATCTTTAACTTATAGGTTATCCTTCACAAGTAATGGCCAAACCTATTTATTATTCATCATGTGGGTAGTCCTCCATAAGCGTCAGGTTTGTAGCCAGGACTGTCAACATTCTCAAAGGAAAGCGTAAAACTTAGTGAATAAATTAAACGAAGAAATTCAGTGTGAGAAACAAAATTCGGGTTCTTATGCAGACCACTAACAAAAACATTAAAAGTTAAAATATTACAACCAGTTTTGTTGGCTACAAATCATCATACAGAAGGACTCTACAAAACAATCCCCAATAAATGATATTCAAATATTTCCTTGTCTATAATATTTGTTTATTAGAAAAAATGAGGACGCATGGCAGTTGCAAGTTACCGATTCTAAACAGTGAACTATATAAATTGTTCTAGTGAACAAATATCAGTTATGTCTGACGAAACTACTGTCCAGCGCATGGAAAAATCATGTGCTTTACAGTCGAATCTGATTGAACATTTATGTGCTTTGGGGTTACGAATGAGTACACCTGCGAACTAATCTCGAAATGGGATTTGCTTTTGTAAGACAAACGATTCACCGGTTACATTCTATGTACCTTCATCGTAGAGTGCAGGATTTTAGCCGTGAATTTCCGTTCATACTCGTTAGTGGGCTGTCTAATTACAAAATAACATAGGGTGTCTGCGTGCTCACCCGTTTCAAGGACTATAATCTTCATCCAATTTACATCGAAATGAAAAAGCAACGGTTTTTAGCAAGTGGTTAAGACCCTTTTTAGCTGTACCTCAACACAAACAATGAACGAAAGAATGACTCATTTTTTCTAGGTATCATATCGTGTAGAAAAAATCTCATACCGCTTGGAAGACGAAAACAGTCTCTTTAGGAGCCAGTCTTTCTGGTATCACTCACTCGGGTGAACAGATCAATGAAATGTTGTTTTTATCTTTCTGGAAATGATTCAAATATTCGATGATAAGAAAGCCTCCTGTCGTCTTCTTTACATGCCTGACATAAGCAAGCAATAGAGGAGACGCTATGTGACTTTGGGGCAAATAGACTACTGTTGTTATGATTGGATTTAAAAAATCTATCAAGGTCCGCTCTTTGCAATCTACTCCGTTCATGCCTGAAATTGCGCTAATTTATGGAATTCAGTGAGTTTGAAAAATGAAGTAAGTACAAACTTCAACAGATGAAATACTAATAAATCAGATGTCAATATTTGATTGTTCTATAATGATATTCAATACAGACTTTTTCCAGTTGTGGTCGACTGTTTGTAAACCCATGTGCCTTGTGACAAAACGTGTGCAAGATTATTCCAAACTAACATTTGTTCATATTTATTGAAATTTATAAGGGGATACAATAATTAGGAAACACAGTAAGCCAGCCCTTCAAGCCAACTGAAAAGCTTTCATGTTGCAATAAATGTAGCAAGCCTTTGGTAAAATATGTATGGCAGAAAATAGTTTCATGCTTTGGGTCTCGCAGATTGACAACTAAAATTAAAGCTTAGTGTAAACGTTTGGTAATGAATAATACTGTGATAGCGATATGTATTGCCATGAACTAGATATTTGAGATATGCATCATCTGGAAAACGAACCACAGTGAACACAGCCCAACCCCCTCCATTTACGTAATCCCCAGATAGCCTTGTTGGGACCGCGGTTTCTTTCCCTAAAAGAGATTGCATCTCTGTGGGCTAAATAAGAAAACAAGAAAGTAAAAACACTTATATATTATCCATTATGAGCTGAATATAACACATTTAATTTTTCATTAGCTGTGAATAAAATGGAAACCACCTACCATCTTTTATCCACCATAATTCTGTCATTACTCCGGGATTATTTTATGAACATGGTAGGTACTCTGCGGTAAATTGAGGTAGGTGCAGGGCTGCTGGCTTCCAAAGGTTTCTTAGCAGAGAACTTCCGTATACCCTTTGTCGAAATTTGTTGGTTAAAAGGAGTATAAAAAGACTACCATTCTACCGTTGTTTCATAGTTCTACTACACCGAATTCTTGAGAAGTTCAAGCAGGTTTGTTTCAGCATCGGCTTCGGTGAATTATTGCATCTTAGGATGCGGTTTCGGTTCGCTGTCCACACTTTTCCAGGGTATTTTACAAGAAAACCTCATCGACAAACATGCGCATGCACCAACGTAAAATTAGACTAATTAACATAGAAATTCGATTGATGAGCCTCAAGATTTTTACTTTATTTGATATGCAACAACTTTATGTTCTGTCGGTGGAAAGTGAATCACATCTAAACATAGGTTGTTAAGGTTGATAAGTGGTTATCGCATTCACACTGGACAGTTGTTCACGGTGTACCCTCTGGGCAGATCATGGTGTTTTGTCAAATCCCATCATAGGATGTTTGTTCTAATCCTCGAATTCCAGCTGCAATTTATTATATACTTATATTGATCACTATATTGATATTATTTTTGCTCGGTAACTTAATTCTTATTATAATTTGAAACATCAAACAAAAGAACGAAACTCAGCAATATTGCAACTAAACAGTCGACAGGATCATTGTCTGAAGTGACAATTTAATATCGATTTAATTCAATGAGAAACCCATTCCGTACCGTCTTGCGAAATCGTTTTGTGTCTACCAATGCAGATGCCGATTCTCGGGTATCTGTATGGAAAATGGATTGCATCACCGAATGGCTGAATGTATCCCAGTTTGGTTTCGAATACTAATCCACAATAGCTTGGCACCGTCATCGACTTAGTGCGGCAGTTTCACGTCTTTAAAGTGAGAAATCATGGGTTAGTAGAAAAAATGTGCCATCCCATCTCCAAAAGTCCCAAAAATTCAAGATACTTCAAAATACATGAATTATAATAATTTATAATGCTAAATTTCATCCAGGTAAACAGTATAATTCCCTTGTCAATTAAGCTTTACCTTTTCTGTGTGCGTTTATGTTGGCATTTAGCTAATCTTTTGCAGTCTGCTTTAATTATTTTACTGATTATAAGACTAAACGTAACTGTGGTACTTATCTGTGTCGGTATAGTTACCCTAGTTACATTGAGCTCACCAGTAATCGTGACTTCTCCATTGAATTTTTTAAACTAATCTTTTGGCTAGAATGTGAATAATTTGTGTTTTTTATTTTGTTACCAAATTTCCCTTCGCTGATATTATTATCCTTGCAGTGCGTAAACGTCTGGAGAGGCAACCAACTGGCAGCTTTATTGTCCGTCGAAGTAATCGCCAACAAAATTATTACCACTTAGCATTCAATACGGGTACGTTTTAACTTTGTACATATGTTCATTCTGTAGTAAACCCACAATAGAACGCTGATTTAAGTTCTACTGAAATGTACTCTAATTTTTAACAGCATTCGTTCGAATACATCAAAATACGTATGCATGCATACGTCTTTCACGGCCTTATTAGGACTGGACCGTTTACCAGTTGTCGACATTTGGTCACGTGAGTTACATGTACATACACACGCAAATGCATATACGGGGAAAAGAAAACAGTGCTATGGAACGGCAGGAAATATGGTTGCCTGTACGAACATGCACCCATCGGGATGTGTATTTGCTGAAAGTTATTCATCCATGGCTGGTCTATGGAAGTTCTTTGGCACTAGCTTTATTGAGGGTTTGCGAAGAGGAATATTTCGTTGGGTACCAGTAGTATAAAGATGGTGAAATGGGGTTCTCACTTTCGACCAACAAGGCAAGTCTGCTCCACGTGGGGTTAGATGGAATGGGACAGTGCTTCACGAGTAACCGTTTATCGCATCGTGCAAAATTGAAATGAACAGCTTGGAAGAATCCATTGTAGCCAGGATTTATCAGAAATGACGTAAAAGAGGGAAGGACATAAGGATTCGCCGGAGAGAAGAGCGAACGAACAAAAAAGTAGGACAATAAAATTTAAATTTGAACCTGGTCGTTTACAGAGTAAAAGAAGCGAGAAGTGAGAAGCTAGGATGCATTGCGCAGAGTTTTTGACCTCATTACGTTTGATTAACATTGCTTATCTATCAGCCCTATTGGAGATGGAACCTGGGACCTCACACAAGCCTATTACCCACTTGACTACCGGGGAGCTGATTAGACCGTTTTTTATTTAACCTTTACAAAACTTATGTATTGCTACCCATTTTTGCGAGGTGAATGCAGGCATCACAACTAGCTTATCCCGGTGCTAGTGTCCAGGGTCATAACTCAGTTGAATCCTTAATTGGGCAAATGGATTCGAAATGCTGATAAAATCCATTCGAGTTGAAGCAGATGTGCAGAAATGCTTTTGAACCTTTTAGATCAAGCTTTGTTTGTCTTATACATGACAAATCAAATTCTCCTCTATTACCATTATGATGCAATGATTTTTTTATCACACAAATCTACAGCGGATGGGATTTGGAGTTGTTCAGTAAACATTTTCATTCAGTTTTGTTTTGTATCGCAAACGAGTCATCTCTAGGGATTCTGGGATACACAAATTTACTAAGGGGAGATAAAAGTTTGTGCAAAACACTGATGGGCACAGATCATAGAACCTCTTATCATGGTCATCGATAAAATGCTAGTTTATCGTGTATCGGAACGTAATATCGGACATACTGCACCCCGGAGAATCAGTTGATATTTGTGATAAACAAAATCGAGTTCCAAATGTTTCTCCAACTGTATTGAATACGTACACATAACAGAACATAGATGAGACTGCATATCTAAAGTTCAGTTTCCTCTAGATTTGGTTCACCCACAAAATCTGTTGGAATATAAAGTGTCCCCTTTCGGCTCCCTTTTACGGCTTTTGTTCCCCTGAAGTGACTACAAACTTATGAAAAAAACTAGGACAACCACAATCTCATTTTGATCATTTGCATAGGTTAACCTCTTACTCCCGTCTGTGAATTACACTGATACAGGAAACGGAGAAGTGCGACGGGTCACTTTGGAACAGACACCGTCTGGTTACACGATTAAAGAACTGAACCAGTCGCGCTACTATCCAACAATTGCCCATTTGATTGCAGCCCACTGCAGTCAAACGAACTCACTACCATGTCTCCTACGATTGCCCGGATACAGTCCGGCGTCCATAGGACCGAGTTGTGTTGGGACATCTGCTACCGGCTCCCCTACAGGAGTAGCCAACTTTTCGATGCGTAATCGTTTGGCAGCCCCACTGAATGGGGCCAGTGGTGCCCTTGGAGAATGTCCGTCTACCACACCGATTCAGCGTTCATGGACTAAGCGCATTGGATCCCGGGAGATGACTGACCCGTGGGCAGACAAAGCCATCATCCCGCCAGTTCCTCCACATCGAACCCCAAACACGAATTCACAAATACGAAAACAGTTACAACGTCCAGTTTATTCATTACTACCTCAAGGGGCTGGTAAGAGTACAACTTACTTCATAGAGTTTTGACAGTTTGATGCGATACATTTGTACTGAATTCTTCTTTATATACATACACATGTATATAATAAATATATACAACAGTAACCCATTGAATAAATATTGGTAGGCATATCCTCTCCACGAATCCAGCCGTAGTGATATGAAGCAAGCAGGTGCAAAACGTTACAATATCCATAGGCTGTTAGAACACACTGATTCCTGCTTTTCGGGCTCAAAACAGTGATCACTCTATTGATCTGCAGCCAAAGCCTTTGAGTAAAATGTCAGACCTGAAAAACAGCAAGATGACAATCAGACTCATCAATCCATTGAGGACCAATGCTCAGTGAATCTGATCATCGGCTTATTCTGCAGAGTTAAATGACTAGTCACAACGAAGAATTTGAGATGAACCAGGATCGTGTGGTGTACTTTCTACGCTTCCTCTTTTTTGGTTTAAATAAGGGCTATTTTTCCAACTTTGGGCGAACCGCCAGTTATTCACTAACCTTTTTCCTACCCAGATGATAGCTTTTCGTCATGCACATTTGACCCAGCTTTTCCCAACTGAAAGATGCAGGATGGATTTTTTCATCATCAGCTACTTAAGACTCTTAGTTATATCAAAACATCTAGTGTGTGGAAAGAGATGGGTGGCCGATCACAAACCTAAACACGAACCCCCGAATGTCCGTATTTCGCAACAGGTATAAGCCTGAACTAGCTAAAGGGTGCATTGTAGGACGAAATCGCTAAAGCAAATAACGAAACGCAAATCATCCGAGAGTAAATACTTTTAGCGAGGAGACTTGAATTCCTTGTGGAACATCACATTTGATCTCCACATGGAAGTTGCGTTCGAGTGTACCCATACATGGTTATTAACTTTAATGCAACCAATTACACAGGAAATCATAAATACTGACTGTTTAGTCCCGAGTTCATGTATTGAGTTTTCGGAAATGGTCACTCTTCTCGTTCCTGTTCATGAACCCAGTTTCGCTGAAACGTTTGCGTTAACAAGGTGAACACATAACAAAATCTCCATATCAAACCTGTCGTGATCTAGTTAGCAAAAATGAAATACCTTGTCTTAGATCATGGAGAACTGAATGATAAATATCTTCGATGTATCGCACCAATAAATCTCATTTAATCACAGAGTACTTTTTAAAAAAATATGCCATTATTAGATAAATGTATCATTTATATTGTAAGTTTTACAATCATTAAACAGTATGGTTTATTCTAACATGATTTGTGCCTAGGTTCACGAAATACTTAAAGTGGGTTAAAGGTTTGCTTGTCCAGTCCAAGACCAACGCGAAATAAGATCTGCGTATTTCGGAAAAACCACCTATCAACTATGGAATGTACTGTTCCTAGCTCAGTCTGTGTAAGATGTCCATTCTTACTGGGATCCAAATGATAATTCTAGTGTTTGCAGCATGTCCATACAGCTAGAGTAGAGTGAAGGGGATTCACTCAAAACTAATGTCAATACACGAATGACCCTAATGTGAAAATTTAACGAGTCAGAGAAATTATCTCACCTAAGGTACGAACAACGCATATTATCTGAATACACCCGGATAATCTTTTTCAAACTCGGTACACTGGAAACCATTTAAAAGTGGATTTGATTCTGAACTAGCCATTCATTTTTGAACTTTTCGTTAAAATGGTAAAACTAAAGTGGCTAAACGTGTACAGTTAGAGGTGTGAAACACGTTCGTCATTTCACCAAATACCCTCAGGGTTACTTTTATTTAGGTGTTTTATTTTCTGACGTAATTTCACTCATCACTATATTTTTCTCACGTGATGTTTCGGGTGACTCAATCTGTTTTACTTGGGACTTTGGATGTAACCTACCTCCTAATTAGGAAAACCAGTTAGTCCTCTGGCCTCCTGGCACGTAGATAAGTGATGGCTTCGGTAACGATCGATCCATTTCTATACATTTTGATACAGTTCATCACTATTTGTTTTCATACATTGAGAACGAATATCAGGTACGGAAGCAGATTTCAGCTCCCGGAGTTTTTGAGAGCAGCAATTGATTGCGCCCTATCTGAGCTGTTATAGGTATTTTTATGTCATTCACAAAACCATTGTCTTCTATGATATCTCACTCAGAAGATGGCATGTCCTCAGCGAGAAGCATTACGTCGGCCTATGAGGTCTAGCGTAGTGTTACGGGGAATCAAGTCGTACCTTTTCGTATGAAGTGGTGAGCAATCGGTGAATAGTCTCAACGTTTTGCACGACTCCATAAACCAAAAATGGTTACAATTTCCGAATGAAACCATCGTTACAAAATGTTAGGGAACACTTGGTCCTCCATGGCCAACACCACACACGACACAGTCATCATCCCACCCATCTCTAATGACCCAAAACAATGCATATATATGATGACCAAAATGTAAGCAACTTGTGATCATGAAACTGGAATATGGATATATTTCATCTCCCTTTTTTCATAATTTCCTTCCTCTAATAAACATTGTGTCCTAAGTTGTGGTGAATTAGCCTACGGATGAATAACCACAAGCCAGCTTGTTCGCTTCTGTTTTTTTCTAAACCTATATCTTGGGACCGCACGTATTGATTAAACTTGTGAGACACCAAGCCTCGCAACGGATTGCTTACTTTCACTACCTATGGTTTTGAACTTCATCTAGCTATGGTTTGACGTCATTTATGACACGAAGAATCAGTAACGTATCTGTTTATGTTGTTCACTCTGTCAGATAAAAGTGTTGTTAGTGTGCGACTCCTCGATTTAGACGATGGTAAGTGGTGCATCAACTGCAAGATGTTTAAAATCAGTAGAACGAAATCACGGGAACATGACTGATATAGGTACGACACAGGTACCCTAATTCCACTTTCTTGATTTTCTGTCATCACTTGGGTTAGTTATTTCGGCAAGACGTCCAAGATCTGAAAATTCAATCGCAACTTTCAGTTTTCTTCGGTACGTACCGCGCCCTGACTTCTGACGACCATTCACGAATTGGCTGCCTCGTCTCAGTCTTCAATAACATTCGCAATCGGGCTGTTACGTGCGAACTGAATGAGTTCAATTTCGGATCCTGTGTAAATTTGAGTAAATATCTGCGAATGATTTTTATACCGAACCTCGAACGAGAGATGACGAAGAGAGTTATCCTGAAAAAATATAGGATTCTCAAATGCTTTGCACTGAGAGATAAAGCTCATAGTAAATATGGTTTGACAATGCCCACGGAAGTGAAAACATTGCATTGCAAATTGAATTATGTTTCAATATTGAGAGCAACTCCTATCAACGCTTTTATACTATTCATTTAAAATACAAACTAAACCTATCTAGAATGTTTTTATCACGTAGAACCAAGTGCTAAAACATGGAGATGACTAGGCTATAGGAGGTTTAGTTACAATTTAAAAATGATCGACTAAATCGTGCAGTTTTATTTTCGTACCTGGGAGTCATCTAACAAGTGCTCGGAATCGAACAGAATGCGTTTTCAGTCAAATCGGTTGCCTTGATCCACGAATACTCGCCGGAAAATATCCGACGCCACGGTACTGGTGTTGTAAGTCACGATACTACTGGATTTCGCTCAATAAATCTCTGAAACATTTACTTGGCAAATAATATATCGGCTTCTGAACTAACCACATTTTCGAGCTTCTATTCTCCTCCGATAACGCACAACTAATAAGCTTTTGGCATACCTTTGTTTATTTTACCAAGCATTAACCTTGTTCATTTTTGCTTTCGAACATCCACTTATTCGACTAAATGCACCAATAAATTTTTTTAATAAACAGACCACAATTTTTCTTAGTCCGAATATGTGCACTTCCGATCAGTGGCTACTGAAATTGCCTCTAACTGTGCACACTAAGAAGAACCGATAAACAGTGTTAAGAAAACTGTTCACAATAGTGACTGAAATAAATCACTTAAGGGAGAAAATAAAAATTAAACATATGTGGTTTTCAACAACTGTTTTCCGTATTTTCATAATGAACCGCTAATGTTTTCGGTAGACATGTAACTGATTAAGTAATTTTCGATTTCTCCATTTTGAATAATTATTCTTAACAACAAATGCTGCTTGGTTTTACCACCATTGACCAAGAACTTTGGGGATCAGTTTACTGCTAAGCGTTTAAAGTGATATACTTATTTGATTCTTGACTATTTCTCTCGAAAGCATGACTCAAAACGATCTGACTTTGTAAGTTAACAGGTGACCACGTCGACTGAGCCTTCTGGGCAAATAGTTATTTTAGCCAGATCATACCACGCAATATCGACGTTGATCAAGCGCCACCACCACCACCACATCGCCTCAGAGGAAATGCCTTCATCCCCAATTATACTACTCGAGTTTAACTATTGTTTGTCTCTACGCAACTCTATACACATCATGAAAATTTGTCGAGCAGTTTAAAGAAAATTTTGTTTCTATCCATATTCGAAACCATATTCCGTATTCATAAACCACAATGACGCAAAACTGTAATCACTGAGAACATGACTTCAAAGCATAAGTTTTTAAGTTTCCATAAGTTTTGGTTATCAACTTTATTCGACAGTGTTGAAATTGCATTATTCCGAACTATTCCAGGTTTGCTAAAGTCTTCTACTACAGATTTAGGTTACCTTAAGAACTTCCCAAATTTTAGGTACGTTAACGCAGAACATCAAATTTGACCGAGTCAAAAGTTAAAAGGGAAATCCGATTGTCTATTATGCAAATATATATGCACCGAAACCTGTGAGGAAACAATTCTTAAAACTGACGGAATCTTTCGACTTTCTGACACATCCTTTTACACTGTTTTCAGTTCACGCCGAAATGACAGAAGAATGATTCTGTACATTATTTTATTTCCAGGTCACTCAACGTTTTCGAATCACCTAAGCACGGGTTTTATGCAATTGTTGACATTCATTGTGATTGCGTATTTGTTTTGGCGATGAGTTTACGGTAGTGTTCGTTGTAAAAGTTGACCCGTGACCTGGAAACAATGAGAATGACTCAGATAATAATCTTTTTAAGGGTAAAACCAGAAAGTTAAAACCATTGGGCTATATGAAACAAATTTCTGGATTTCTGAATCATTTATGATTATTGATGGCCGACGAGCAATTGTGCCGCCGTGTTACACAAACTATTCAATGCATCTGATAAATGCCTTCTTTGATTAGCGATTCTCAAGTTTAGCTTCGAAGACTAGCTCAAAGACATCTCACTAGTTTAGCGAAACAAGTCCGCGTTAAAAACACAAACTGCACTTTATATTCGAAAATAAAACAGCTTTCGGACTTCACTATTTCAACGACCATCCTCGTTTGCTTGGGTGTAATAAACCCATCATTAATCTGAGCGCAACATGCATGAATACAGCAGGTTTGTGTTTCTTCAGTTCCAAGTTTCTTTACCAATCGCCTTCGGAGTAGCAATTACTCACTGCAGAAAGAATAATGTGTAGAAAGTGGTCCCACGTGAGCCCCATTGTTCCTCAATTTTTCAGTCAAACGTTCTATTTCAAATTCTTGTCTAATAAGCAACAGCATTTCGGCGTGTATAAACGCCGACTACCTACAGTCACGCACTAAATCAATTCACATTCCAAATCTTTCTCTCCCACAAATCCTAACAACCACCCCCAACCTCAGCCTGTCAGCTATTCTACCTCGGAGGTTTCGAAGTCCTTGTACGACCAGGACCGCAGGCGGTCCGATTGTGCACAGATCATGTCCTTGGTCCGGGTAGAAATGCTGTTCAACTGGCTCGGGTCAATTTTCGCGTGAATGAGACCGGAATAACAGTGACCGATTTGGATCGCAAATTATTTGCACNCCCTGTCTTCTATATATGGGATTGGATCCGTTAGATAGAAGGTAATAAATTCATCGTTTCTGATGGTCATTTAGTAATCCAGTTATAGCCTTGGTCATTCCAACTTTCCAGCTAACATTCGAATACAACAAAAATACAAATACAACAACTTTACTTAATAAATCCAGTTATTGCAAAGATATGGATAAAATTACCATCCTTTTTGAGTCAGTAAAAAGGCTGGTTCTGAGTTGAGCAGAGATACATGCTTTTTTGAATGTTTACTTGCATGCAAAATCAAAACACCAGCCATAGATTACGTTTAGTGTAAGCTCGCAATAACTCTTGACTGGAAGGCCTCTT